GTTTCCGGTGCTTTCCGCAATTTCAATCTTTTAACTATGTTCATACCTTCAGCTGGAGTGGCTAATTTAAGAATATTTTTAGCAGAAGGTGCGTTTAGGCATTCGCGTACACGTAATAGCGCAAAAGGTGTAAAGTCATTATCGTTTGGCCATTTATTCAGTGTAAACGGTGCTTCTAAATGAATAGCAAAAATATCTGCTTTATCGTTATTAGATGTAACCACTCTGCCTGTGGAATGATAACATAATATCCCAACACATAAATATAAAGGAAAAAAATTAAGAGCACTGGATAAGATATCAAACTATGGCATGAAACATTAAAAATTTTTATATTAGTTTACTAGGGTAATTCATAAAAAAATGAACAACTCAAAAAATTAAGATTTATGAATTTAATGTGGAATGTGATCACAGGGCTAAAGAAGGAGAATGGCCTGGTCATCCGTTTAAGAGAAACGATGCCGATACGAGCCCTCTCGAAGAGTATATAGGATGTTATTTGATGTCACTGGGTTCGCCACCTCGCCTATTGACCAGAGTTCCACAGTGCGAAAGCTTAGACCTCTTAGTTCTTATATTCATAGAAAGAGGTTTATTTTACTTGAAAATTGTAACTGAGGATATTGTTAAATTTTGAATTTGTATTCAGAAAATGTTCGTAGTGGAAAAGTATTCAAAAATGATGTCCTGCGTCGTCGTCGTTTCATTGATTTTCACATAAAAGCTTTCAATTAATGAAAGAACAATGGGAGTAATTATAGGCTGAGAAAACAGTTCTTTTTAACAGACTGAGAGACTGAAAACACTTCTTTTTAACAGACTAAGCATTATTTAAAAACTATTTTCTAGGAAACAAAAAGGAAAAGCGACTGATTGAAAACAACAGAAAGCTAATATTAGAAAAACATAATGAATGAAATTCTGTATAAAAATTAGTATCAGAATATGTTTTTATACTTCTAATATATAAGAATATATACGTGAATATATTTAAACTGGTATTTTTATATGAAAATCTACTAATACCAGGTTTAAATATTTTCATTATTTTATGAGTAACTGACGCTGCATATTAATGCTGATGATTCATAACAATGCTTTTATAATAGTCATTGCAAAAGCTTACAAAAAATCTGATTAACTTGTTCCATATGCTAATTAAAGCATAAAAGTAAAAGAAGAAGAATTTCTTTCAGTTTAATGTATTATGAAACATATTATTAGCATTAATTAATTTTTAATCAAGTAGATGAAAAAGGCCTTTCTAGCAAATATTCTGAAAATGTACATTCATATTTCTATTTAATTTACCCATTATGAAAATTATTTTGTGATTAACATAGGAAGCATTATTTGTGCAAATATTTATTGTTTTAACGCAAAACGAATTCTTCAGAAATGAAGAAATTTTTCAATGTTTATTTTAATCGGTTATTATTTACATATATTTAAAAAATTATTGTGAAACAAATTGGCAATATTTAATGTATATTCGATCTTAAAAATTAATTTAAATTTATGTTTTATGTGCACTATAGTTCCTTATGCCGTAGCTATATCACTAGATTAGGTATAGTTCAGAATTTTTATATGTTATATAATTAATATCTAATATATAATTATATATAACGTATAAAAAATAATATATAACACATAATTTCATGACTTAAAAATATCGACTTATAATCTCTTCTATTCGATTCTTCAAAGATTTTTTATTTTCAAGGAAATACTTAATGAAACTGAAGGCCGAATAAGACACTCTCAAAGAAAAAGAACAAAGGGAATCCCGATACGTTACCAGTCTCTTTTTCCGGTTTCAGGTGCGAGAAGCCGAAGAAGCAGTCCGTTAGACCTGATGTGATCATCCCTGACTTGTATATATATATCAGAACGTATTTTTGTGCTAGCAGTAACGTTGTTAGCCACGGGGTTTGGATAATTATATCCCACATCTCCAACTGTGCGGTCTATAAAGAATTTACTTCTCTGGAAGGATGATATATCCATTGAACTGCTTTTTTAAATGTAGTCCTATAAGTTGTCTGTCGGATTACATTCAGGAGAGTATAAAGTTCAGTATAAAGACCTTTTTTATAAAGCCTTATGTATACAGTTTGTATACAGCCTTACGTATACAGTTACAGCAGTTCCAGTGGCATCTGCAAGCTCTGAACATAATTGCCGAACAGTAGCCGCCTTCCTGATACAATGCCAGATATAGAACTTGAGAAGAAGTTGCCTTTGCGATCTTGCCCAAGCCTTCTCACAACAGTTCTAATTTTCTGAAATAGTTAGTAGTTAGACTGTCTATCTTGAACATACACGGGATGGACAGCGCATGGTATTAAAGAATACCTTGGTATCATGCGGTGTTTCAGGTGCCAGGTATATGGCCACACCCAAGAAGTCTGCCAGAATAAAAGAAATTACTGTGGATACTGCGGGGGAAATCATGCAACAACAGAGTGCATGGCCAATAGTGCAGAATGTATCAACTGTGGAGAGGCAAATCACAAACACACTCATCACGACTACCGGCACCCAGCATATCATCCAAGCTGCCCTGAATTCCAGCGGAGCATTCGTTACGTCCGCAGTATTACAGAGTACTAAGGCAGTAATGGGGAAACGAACAGTTGTCACAGAGCTCAATTTCTTGGTAATCAAGAAGACTGACACGTACTCAGGCAACAGAGCATCAGATAAGAATCTTGAACGTATATCTCAGGAACCCATATCTTCCATAACTCACGAAAGCAATTTTCCTTTTATGCCAATAAATACAAACATCTTCGAGCATGATGAGATTAAGATACTCCAGATAAATTTACAAAGAGCCAGAGCCGCAACGGCCCAGCTGGTGCAACAAGCGATGGAAGCGGAAGTAGACTTTATTGCTCAGGAGCCGTACCTGCAAGCAAACAATGTAGCTGGCCTCCCTCTAATGCGGACCATCATCCAGTCACATGATGCTACATCCCTCCCACGGCAGACATTTCTGAATCACTATATCTACAACAAAGAATTCTGGCTGATTACCCCAACGAACAGCACCTTCTTGCGGAAAACTTTAATGAGCATTCTGAAACCTGGGGATATCCACATACGGATCTGAGAGGACGTGCAGTAGAAGACTTTGTGGCAAGTAATGATCTATCTATTCATAATGAGCCTGAATGCCTGCCTACGTTTGAAACCGTTAATGGCAAAGGGTGGCCGGATTTAACGCTCTCATCTGCAGCCCTGACCCCAAAGATAAAAAATTGGACAGTTGAGGATTCCATTACCAACTCAGATCATAGGTACATTACCTACAGTATAAACCAACAGCATGAAAGGCTAGTAATGAAGCGCTATAAGCTTACCAGAAGTAAAACTACTCAATTTTCTAGGAAAGCACGTCCAATCCTAAATAGATTATTAATGGAGCTGCCAAACACCATAACAGTCAAAGACGCGGAAGAATTGACCAATAATTTGATCAGTGACCTCCAAATTATCTGTGACAGCACCTTTGCGCTGAAAACCCCCAAAATGCTACACGCTGCAAACTGGTGGACCAGGGACCTCAGAACACAGCGTAGCCGTACCAGAGCTATGCGCAGGCGCATGAAAGCAGAAAGAGATCAGGAAGCTAGACAATTACTATCCATAGAATATAATAAAGCGCAGGCCAAGTATAAAAAGGCCATATTACGGGCCAAACTTGAAAGCTGGAAAAAATTCTGCACTGATCATAGAGATACCTATGGGATTCTGCACCAAATAGCCAGCGAAAAAGTTTTTAAACCGACTCTACATCACACTTTTCATGGTCATGCCTATGGAGAGTCAGGTATTATGGAAGCAACCATAAGAAGAATCCTAGATGCGGTTTTTCCCTCAGATGAGGATGACACATCAGACTTGCAATTGCATCCGGCGTTCTCACTTATATCAGGCACTCCAAATGATGTACCTTATACCGATTCAGAAGTAAATGCAATTATGCGAAATCTGCCGAAGAAGAAAGCTCCAGGTCCCGATTCTTTAGATTACGATATCATTAGAGCGGTGCACAGAGCGAATCCGAAATTTCTTGTCACCTACTTCAATAAGCTCCTCTCTCTGCAATATTTTCCTAAGTCCTTTAAGATCGGGCAAGTGGTCCTATTTCAGAAATCCGGAAGAGACAAAGAAGATCCTTCTTCCTTTCGCCCCATCTGTCTTCTTTCGGCTTTAGGCAAAATTTATGAAAAGCTGACAATACTCAGGATCAAGCATCATTTAACTTTGTCTGGCCACATCTCAGAGGCGCAGTTTGGCTTCAGGGAGAACCGTTCCACTCTTAACGCTCTTGACATTGTTAAAGATGAAGTTCAAAAGATCAAAGAAGATAACCAGCATGCGGCCGTCCTCAGCCTTGACTTACAGAGTGCGTTTTTGACTCCCTGTGGTGGCCTGCCATCATTGAAGCTCTACATGCGGCAAGCGTGCCTAATAATCTTCTACAAGTAATTAAAAGCTATCTCAGCGACCGCACTTTTACCGTGGTCTATAATGGCGGCATAGTGAAGAAAAAGCAAATACGAGGCTGTCCACAGGGGTCATGCGCTGGACCAGATCTCTGGAATGTCACATTTAACTCCATACTGAATGCGCGTTGGCCGTCGCATACAAAGACTGTAGCCTTTGCAGATGATGCCACTTTCATCGTTCGAGGACACAGCAGGAACGAATTAGAGAAAAACTGCAACGAGGTTATCTCGCTCTTTGACAACCTCTGCACTGAAAAACACTTTAAAATATCACAGGATAAATCTAAATACATTATATTTCACAAGCCCAAACAAACTACCATAAGGAACCCGTGCATCAAGCTAAGAGGAGTGACGGTCAAGAGGTTCAAGGAACTAAAACTCCTTGGCCTCATTTTGGATGAAAACCTCACTTGAATTCCTCACTTGCAAGCCCAAAGGGTCAAAACCACAAGAATAGCGACTAGAATTAAAAATATGCAGGGCAAAGATTGGGGATTACGACCCCACATCCTCAAGACTATTTACAAGACGGTAGGGAAAAAAATAGTTTTGTCTGGAGCAGCTATTTGGGCCCTACCCATGACTGCGATGAAACTGAATTTACTTAATAGTATCCAACGACCTTTCGTCCTTGCTATCACGAAAGCATACAGGACAATGGCCACAGCAGCGTCAGCGGTTCTAGCTGGACTTACTCCTCTGCCAATAACCGCACTACAAGAGGCAACTGTCTCTAATGTCATGCTTCTTAGGAAGTCAGCCTCATTTAGGGGAACTACATTTGTACCATCAGACTTTGAGAACAAAAATTCTCAGCTCAAAGTTCATCCCGCTAGTTATGGGTTGGGCATTCGTGCCCATACCTCTATGTCTCAGGATTTGCGGGTAAGAGACACAGGCGGTGCAAATACCATCAGCATATTCACTGATGGCTCAAAAATCAACGAAGAGGCACGCTGCGCTTTTATTTCTCATTATCATGATAAAGTCTTAGAAACGTGGAAAGGATACCTTGGACTTAATAGATCGGTATTCCAGGCTGAAGCAGTAGCATTGCGCCAAGCTATAACAGCAGCTATGAAGTTTGTTGACCAAGAAGTTTATATTTTCTCAGATAGTCAGTCTGCAATCTTTGCTCTTCGTACTGTGTATAGTACCTTGGTAAAATGTGTAAGTGCTCGTAGCATGCAGAGCTATGCTTTGAGCCGCAGGAAGCATAGTAATTATAACTGTAGTACTATAACTTAATGTATTCAAAAGCACAGAATGTAAATATTATAGTAGTAATTATTATAGTAGTTATATGTATGTAATTATTATTGCATTCTGTAAATTTTAGTGCACTGAGTGATTTATATATAGCAGTGTGTTAACGTGCATATTATAAAATGTATAGTGCATGGTAAATACGGTATTTAATGTATCTAGCACATGTAATTTTTTAACTGCAATTAATTTAATGTGAAAATTTTTTCCCTCAATGTGTATTTCTAATAGTGTTTTTTATAAGCTTTTTGTATTAAGAATTATGTTGTATATAACAAAGAGTTACTACCACTGCCTATATTATTTAATCAACAGTAATGTTCAATGTAATATGTAGCCAATACACACAGTGCATTAAGTGTAGAAATGAGTTTTGTAAAGTGTCCTAAATATAGTGCCGTGTTCAATGTAATATGTATTATAAAATTTTTAGTGTATTGAGTGTTTTATATATGGTAGTATGTTAAGGTGCAATGCAACCAGTAGAACGTTTAATTACAAAGTTATTTTTGGTATTGTTACGAATTTGGTATTTAAAAAGTTAAATGTTAGTTCAATTATAAATTAAATGGTTTTATTTCTCGCGCAGTGCAGCGCGTGACGAATATTAAAAGAAAGCTAAGCCGGAAAATTGAAAATACAAGAGCGCGTGCATTAAATAAATAAATATCTCTTTTTGATTTCGAGAAAGTACTGGAAAATTCTAGCGCGTGATTTTAAAATCTTATAAAAGGAGGAAAACATCTCAGTTTGTAGTAGTTGCTGCTTAGTTTGTTGTTGTTTAGAAAACTGCTCTTGTTGATTAGCGAATTCGCGGATTAGCGTTCTTTAGCTGTTTTGAATTACGTTCCATTGGACATTTGAGTAGTTAAAAGATAACTACTGTGAGATATTGTAATACTGCATGATGATTTGAGAAAATTTAAGCATTTTTGTTGTGATAATAATAAATTTTTGTTCATTTTTCATCGGACTTGTGCATTCATTTCATAACGAACCCGTACGCACGCAACAGTATGTTTTAAGAATACAGCAAAATTTATGCCACAGTTAACTTTTAACATCTTATTTAATTAAAAGTAATATGGGCTGTACTGTGTCCTTAAATCTGTATTTTGTATATTATAAGTACAGCACAAAGTAAACAAAGAGGATTTCTGTGTGCAAAATGTGTAATTAGTTTGCAATGTGCAATTTTGCTCTTTATTTAAGAGCTCTTAATTTATTTATCTGTTGTATCATGTTATTTATTTAAGTCTCTCTTATATAACGAAGTTATGTACTATATAATCCAGTTATGTCTTATTTAAATAATTACATTGTTTAGAATCTATGTTGACTTGTCAAGAATAATGTTCAGCGTAATATGTTGCAAAGTATAGTGTATTAATTGTAGCATTGAGTTGTAAATGTGCCTTAAGTACAGTGCAATTATGAGTGCAATATCAACGGAAATCATATTGTGAAATGTTTATTGTAGCGAGTATGTGTAGCAATGTGTTAACAAGCGATGTAGCCAGGAAAATGTTTAATTTCGCATGCAGAAAAATCTATATTTTGCCCTTATATGGCCATGTACTTTACCCTTGTATTGTTTTCGGAGTGTAGCTTCAGATAGTTGCGGGATCCGGACGATACCCGACTAGTCTGTGTAAGCCGTCCGGGTGTCCGGACCTACTCTCACATGTCTATCTTGAAATATTCATACATATCACTACTTTAATGAATGTCTGCACTGGTTTTAGTTAAACGGCAGACGATTCGCCAATTTACAGACTCTTCCAAATGATACTTCGGAACCATAACAAATAATTTTGAGCGGTTGCACACTAAAATCAAACGCTGTATCGCAAGAAATCACTCAGATATTCACTTTGCGCAAAGCGCCTAATTCACCATCAGATGACGTAATGCCTTAATCTGCAAATCCGACACTTGCTTTCATATCGTTTTGATTACTTTTGATTGAATAAAGCTTATTAGGATTGCTTTCACAAAGTCAGTGAAAAAATGGTTTATGTCATGGATATTTCATAAATGTCATTATATTGGGAATGTAAAGTAAATTTGGGCATGAGTGGTATGTTGCATTGTACATGTGAGTTATGCTGTGAAGCTGAGTTCTAGGTTTGATCAAGAATATCCCAAATGATGGAAAACGAGCATCATCTCTTCGATCAGCATCAACTTATAAAAGCATTTTCTGTTTCACAAAGCCTTTATTTTCAAAAGCTCTATTATGTTGACGCAAACTTTGAACGCTCATGTCTTAAGCGAAATTTGAATCTCAGTCCTACAAAGTGGCAGTCATTCTGCACTGATTACCATCAATCAAAATATATAAGTGACGCTGTAACAAATTTTTAAATAAATTCATGATGAATAAAAAAATTCCTCTGCCCAAAAATAACTCGAAGTATTAAATTTATCATAAAAGTACTTAAAATAGTTTACAGTTGAAAAAAAGATGGAATGATGATATTTGTTTTTGTCCTGAAATTTTGAAGGAAATATCATTTCACTTGAAACATTTTAACGGCAGCGTTATATGTGAAGGCGTGACATACGTTATAGAACTAGAGTGCTTAACTCCGGTATTATATACTACATGATGAAATGGCTTAAGGATAGCGCAGACAAAATTATAATCCATACATTTATCGGCTGCATAATTTTGAAATGCACGTGGGTACCGTAACCGAGTGTCTGACTTCAAGTACAGACGAATGGGCTTCTACTGCTCTCGTGAAATTGAATCTTTGAAAGCTATTCTTTACATTTTATTTCTCGATATACAGCATATGTTTGTATTTCTTATAAATTCTTTTAACGTGAGAGTAAAATCTTCAGTATTACTTAACTTTCATTTAATTTCTATTTTTAAATTTTCACAAGTAATTCACGGTGGTTCAATTATTTTGTAGACAAAATAGGACGGCAGAATCTTTCTACCATACTTTAATTTCAGCTACGCTGAAATCGTGGCAGAGATCAGGCGACACAGCAGGAAATACTTTTAAAAGCCCACTAATTCGTTCTAGAAGCCCTTCCTCGGTTGTAATACCGATGTGCATTTATTTATTATATTTAACAACCAGAAGTTACACAAACCTAAACTTACTAAAACTATAGGACTTACAGAAGATTCATGGCAATAGTCGCAAATTGAAATTTAAAAGTGATTTCATTGTCTGGAGGAATAACTACCTACTTTCATTATCTAGCTCAAATAGCCTTTGCTTTCCATTAATTGACAATTAAATAACTAGTTCTACAGTCCTGATTTAAACTGTGATTAGTAACAGAACATTCTTAACAGATTCACAGCGTTGTCGAGTTAAGAAGGATAAATAATAGCAATGCTGGAAAGATACTTTTTCCCTCCCCTTTTTTTTTTTTCCATTTTGCACATCTTGTAGTTAATGATTCTTATTTAGAGATGAGAGAAGCAGGCAATATGCTTTACTTCTAAATAAAAATAATTAATTGAAAAAATTAAAATAATAAGGAATTCTAAGGACTTACTTCCACAAATAAAATATATATACACCTAAATTAAATTTTTATTCTTAAAATCATCTTATCATAACATATTTACAAATTAGCAATAGATTTTTGTCCTCTTTAGCTTCGGAATTCGAATAACATAACGTTCATGCTTCATACAAATAACTACCATAACCATGAATAATGAATAGCCATAATGAAATAGCTTGAATTTCATTTATAATCAGCGTTTCACCATCGACCATCCGGTAAAGGTGCTGAACAGTGGTAGTTCGATCTAGACTCTGTTCCCGCAAAAGGTCTGGCTGCATGGGCGTTTTCTAATTTTTTCCATGTGTAACGTGTATCAAGAAAGTTTCCCATAAGACTTCTCCACAAAACCTTCTCTTCCCTTGCAGAAATATTAGGCATTTTTTATATGGGACATATGAAAAATGAAGTTGAAACACAAACCTCTCAAATACGAGCCAAGTGTGCTGACCACTACACCCCGAAGGCATACTAAGAAGGCGGATGAAATACCCTATACCCTTAGTGGGCTTTGCCATAATCAAACAAAGCGTTCTATGTATCAGTTAACGCAAATGTTAATGGCATGGCATGAACTAACATCGGACTAGACATGAGTGACATATTATGTATGCCAGAAGGTATTTTTTAAAACGCTGGTTTTATAAAATAACTGAAAAAAATTGCCAGACTATTACAGATTTATATGAAAATAGAATTTCTGTTCCAATTAAATCGTTCAAAAATAGCTGATTTAAAATGAAAAATAATTTAACGAAAGTTATACGTTTTGTAGTTCGTTAACCAGTGACACAACTATATCAATCGTGAATTCAAATATTATATTCCTAAGCTTGATAGTTAATTCAGTTATTATATTCCTAAATTTTTTTTCCAATATATTATTTGCATTCCTGTTATCATATTTCAATTTAGCTCAAGTATTTTTATTTATTTCATCTCCTAATTTTTATGTGTAATCAGCAGTTAATTATACTTTATACTAAAAAAGCAAAAGAAATACGTAATCACATGAACTAATGAAAATTCTTTTATGGCTAATATGTGTTTTAAACAATTAGCAGAGGGAATTAGTCATTAGTCATTTGAAAATGCAATTTGGAATTTTGACTTAACTGTTAAAGCCTTAATTATGTCGAATTAGTTCCTTCTGGCTTTAAATTTTTATGTTAATTTGTGTTTTCGAAAGGGATGTAGGAGCAGCCATTAGGGATACTTATAATTTTGTTCAAAAGTTTTTAATGGCTAACTTTGTAAACACAGGAAAATACAAACAACTTGAGATTAACTGGTTATGCATAAAAAAAAGCCCATTAAAAAGAGCAGGTTTGTGGGAATGTGGAAAATTGCATTTTCAAACCATCGGCTGAAAAAAAAAAATGCAGAAAATATAAAATAGCAAAGAAACTGAATGGAATAACAGCAATGACAGCATATGATGTCAT